CTAAGATCAAGTCCAATGCAACGACCACAACGCTATGACCATATGACATTTAGTACGAAAAGTTCAGAAATATTTATGACATTTCTAATCCTTCGCTGAAACGTATAAATCTCTGAATTTTTCTTCAAATTATTTTCTAAAACAGATAATTTAAAATTACCCATAATGTTTGAGGATACAGATAAGCGTACAATGTGATCGAATGTTTGTTTATCTTTTGTGACCCGTGTCACGTAATACACACACGTGATACACAAGTATTCGAGAAGTACTCTGAGACAATTTATTTTCTCTTGCAGTTGACTTTGGGTGACCTTGAATGACCTTCATAATAGTTCATTGTATTCGCCTCGAAACACTCAGAATGTAAGTAAAAAAACTTACTGTTGCATTTAAAAAAACAGAATTGACCTTCATATCTCCTTGACGCCTCCACCAACAGAAAAATTGGTAATACCAGATTATATGAGCCTCCCGATACCAAGTAAGTTTGGTCTAATGCATTTTCTCCTATCTTTAAAAACAAGCGAGTTATTCAGGTGACTTGTTTAAAATGCCCCACCCTGTATATGTCATATATCATAAATATTATTATTATATATACAAATATTAATATTATAAGTGTAATATATATATTTAAATTTAATATATAATATATAAATATAAATAATAAATCAATAAGTACAATGCTTCCACCTCCTTCGATTCTAATCATTTCTTCGAAGAAATTGTTTTGCTAATTATCTTGTCAGCATGCTTAAATATTGACGGCAAATTAATAGAATTTTTATTCCGAATTCAACGAACGATGAACAAGACAGGAGGATTAATCCATCGTACAACAGAATTCGTGTGTCTCTCTAATTGACGCTCGAATTGTCCACAGAAATGGACAATTTGGGAAGAGGAGATACAATTATTCGAGCTATTTAACCCTGTAACTACCCTCACGGAGAAGTTACAGGGTTCAAATTATGCATAAATGAGGTTTTCTTGGTCAGCTATCAAACGGTATAATACTCACGAAAAAACCTCTAAGAACAATTTCGACCGTCTTGATCGACTAGGTCCTTCAGTTTTCATTTTTTTCGACAATGGCGCAGCCGGGCGAAAAATCTGAGAAAAAACCAGCGCACCGCTTGCGATAGTACCTTATCGAGAAATTAGTATAAAAATCACTTATATTTTTGTTTTCGAGAAATCTTCAATTTTCGATATTCTATAACATGCCTTATTTTTTTTTAAATTTTAGAAAGCCACCAAAGTGGAGAAATGGGCGGGAAAGCGCGCGATCGGATACGAAAACCGATTGTCAACAACAATAGAAACGCTCCGCAAGGCTCGAACAATCGTACCTCCTCTCCTCGAACTGTCCATTTCCGTGCAGAAGATCTGCGCGTCAGTAAGGGAGACATATCACTGTATTACCTGTCCAAGATTCTCGCGATCTCCGTTCTCGTCGAACGTGTACGTATGCTGTTTCTTCGCGTTCTTCTGCGTCAGATTCCTCACGGCTTTGTCCCTCAACACGATGACGTACATCGCGACCACGAAAGCGACGCTGACCAAATACAGATACAGATAGAATCCCTGGAAAAAACAACAAATCACCGTGTCGTTCGAGAGAGATGAATCACGCGGAGAGATGAACGCGTTATACAGGGTGTCTCAAAAATGTCTCGCAATCCGGAAATGGTGGGTTCCTGAGCTCATTTGAAGTAACTTTTTCATTTGCGAAAATGCAATCCGCCGCTTTGTTTACGAATTATTAACGAAAAACACTGACCAATAAGAGGCGAGGATTAGCTGGCGCGAGGCGACCGAGTCAACGAGCGGTCGAAGCTCAGTTCCGCTGATTGGTTCAGTCGCCACGTGCCAGCCGAGCAGGTCTCTCATTGGTCAGCGTTTTTCGTTAATAACTCGTAAACGAATTCTCGGACTGCATTTTCGCTAAGGAAAAAGTTACTGCAAATGACCTCAGAAACTCTCCATTTTAGGATTGCGGGACATTTTTGGGACACCCTGTATAACCAACACCAGCGAGAAAGAGAGTTTCTCGTTCGCGGAACAATTCGTTTATTCGGAAAAATTCGTCATCCCGTTTTCTCCTTCGACCGGCAACAAGACCGGTTAAAGTTAACCTCTTAGGTACGACGCGTCACTAAAGTAATTTTCGCGGATGTCATATTATTTACGACGCGCCGCTACAGTGGCTCCCTCTATCGTCTCATTCGCACACCATCCGAACTTTTTCCTTTACAAAAATTTTCTCCGAGGCACCGTTAACGAGTTATTAACGAAAAACAGTGACCAATGAGAAACGAGCTCAGCCGGCGCGAGGCGACCGAGCCAATGAGCGGAACTGGGCTTCGCGCGCTGGTTGGCTGGGCCGTCTCGCGTCAGCCGTACTCGATTCTTATTGATCACTGTTGTTTCGTCGATAACTCGTTAACAGCGCCTCGGAGAAAATTTTTGTAAACGAAGAAGCTGCTTCAAATGATCCGAGGAACCTGCCATTTCCGGATTAAGAGACATTTTTGGGACACCCTGTACTTGTACTAATACTGTACTACAGGGTGTCCCAAAACTTTTTCCGTAACGAAAATGCAATCCGCGACTTCGTTTAGGAATTATACGGAAAAGTGACCAATGAGATCGGCTAGCGCGAGACAGCAGAGCCAATAAGCGGAACTGGGCTTCGTGCGTCCGTTGGCTGGGCCGCCTCGCGCCGGTCAAGCTCGCTTCTTATTGGTCAGAATTTTTCCGTTAATAACTCGTAAACAAAGCAGCGGTTTGCATTTTCGCTAAGGAAAAAGTTACTTCAAATGACCTCAGGAATCCCCCATTTCCGAATTGCGAGACATTTTCGGGACACCCTGTATACAGATAGAATATACAGTCTGTTTATTTTCGATACGTCAGTGTAACGCATTTCGCGTAATTCGCGTCGTACTCTGCCGTACAGAGTATCAGCCCGCGCAAAATTCGGCCGCGCCTAAGAGGTTATGTATTATATGCGACGGTCACCTGATTCATATACGGCGGCACCATTTCGGTCACGCTGGCCGTGACCGGCACCGCGACACCGATAACAATCAGCAGTTTCGCGTAAAGAGTGCTCGTGATCGACACCATTTCCGAGTGGCATTTCCTCTTGCCCATCGGTATCGTTCGTTGCAGGTCCACGATCTGCTGTTGCTTAGCCGTCGACGGAAGCTGCCGTTGCGTTCCAGGAAACTCGGGCGGCTGCTCGTTGCCGAAATAAATCGGACGTTTACCTCTGCCGACGTCGAGAACGTTCAACGGCACGCACGCGTTAGCGTTCATCGGCGACAATGGCAAAAAGTTCGGCCGCTGTCTCTGCGGATCGACGTCGTTCTTCTCCAGATGGCTCTGGTTGTTCAGCGCGATCGTTCTCGAGCCCGGCGGCTGCTGCTGGCCGGCCAGAAATTCGTGGTCCTGCGGCATGCAAGATGGCAGCGACATGTTGCTGCCTATACCTGAAATCAACGCTCTGTCGACAGGAACCAGTGGACAGGAACGACATGAACGTCTTAATGCAGACTCGGCCGTGTTTGTTTTCTGTTTTTTTGTTTTTTTTTCTCATTTCGTTTAATCTCGCGCGCCGTTTTTATCGTTCGACGGACGATATCACTGTCCGACACGATTTTTGATTTCCTATAGCAGGTATGAAATTCTTGTAGAGCTTCACTCCCCGATCAAGAATCCGAAAACCGAATTGCTCCGTCACTTTTAACTATATACATATATATCACAATATAACCTCACTTTTTGAAAGAAACGAACTTTTGTAAAAACCTAAAATTTTCGACAAAAATGAGGTATTGCACGAAAAGTACAAACGTTAGAAAGTTCTAATCGGTGATAAAAGATAGAGGAGAGTTTCCGGAATATAGTGGCATACAATTTATTAATTATTTTTGGTCCTAAATAGCAATAAATTAATGTCAAATTTTAAAAAAGTGTCGATGTGAGCAGTTTCTGTGCAATATTTTTGTATTATTACGAAAAGTTTTTTGTTCGGCACGAAAACTCTACCCAGGATCGGATTCTGTAGACATTTCTGAAGAAGAAACGGCCCGGTAAAAGTGTCGGAACGATATACACTTCGAGTAAATCGAGAAAATGTTCGACGGCAACATGTACACGACGTTTTGCCGCCATGAGCTTCGCTGCTCGCTTCTCTCTGTCCGGCAGGTCCGAAGCTACGCGTAATCAACATCGATGGAGGGATCCAATGGGGCACCCACTTTTCGTAAATAATATTTGAATTTTTTTTAGTACTTCAATGTTCTGTTTTTTTTTTACATATTTCTGTGGGTAATAATCACCAAACTGTGATATATTTCACAAAAAAAAATCACACCAGAGTATTTGCAGTTGTTAACGAAAATATATTCTAATACTAGTATAATTTTGACTTCTGCGCCATATAATTAAATAAATATTTAAATATATATTTAACAATATGTTTCAAGAAGTTTAACGTTTTGAAAATGATTATTTATTCATGATCGTATTATCGTTCTAATTTAAATGATAACTGTATACATGATATACTTGTAATTCGAACAAATTCAGAATAAAATGAATATTTTTTGTTTATTATTTTTCTTTTATTATTTCTCCATTTTTAATTTATGATTCACAGTTTGGTGATTATTATCTATAAAAATATGTAAAAGAAGACAGCACATTNAGAATAAAATGAATATTTTTTGTTTATTATTTTTCTTTTATTATTTCTCCATTTTTAATTTATGATTCACAGTTTGGTGATTATTATCTATAAAAATATGTAAAAGAAGACAGCACATTGAAGTACTAAAAAAAAATGGCACGCCCCACGCGCTATGTGGGTGTCCCATTGGATCCCTCCATCGGTGTTGATTACCCATAGCTTCGGCCCTGTCGGACAGAGAGAAGCGAGCAGCGAAACACATGGCGGCAAAACGTCGTGTACATGTTGCCGACGAACATTTTCTCGACCTACTCAAAATGTACATCGTTCCGACACTTCTATCGAGCCGTTTCTTTTTCAGAAATGTCTACAGAATCCGATCCTGGGTAGAGTTTTCGTGCCGAACAAAGAACTTTTCGTAAAAATACAAAAATATTGCGGAGAAACTGTGCACGTCGACACTTTTTTAAACTTTGACATTAATTCATAGTTATTTAGAACCAAAACCAATTAATAAATTGCATGCCACTATATTCGGAAAACTTTCCTCTATCTTTTGAGACTGATTAGAACTTTCTACCGTTTGTACTTTTCATGCAATACCTCATTTTCGTCGAAAATTTTAGGTTATCACAAAAGTTCGTTTTTCTCAAAAAGTGAGGTTATATTGTGATATATATATGTATATGGTTAAAAGTGACGGAGCAATTCGGTTTTCGGATTCTTGTTCGGGGAGCGAAGCTCTGCAAGAATTTCATAGTGGCTGCAGGAAATCAGAAAAAAAAGTATGATTTTGTCGGACAGTGTATTTAGCCGCGTCCCGGAGCGTTTTTCACATCGATACGCCGAACGATATAAATTGAATCGAGTCGCTGAACCGAAGTCCGGGATCGAAAATATTCCGGCGGATTCAATGATCGTAAAATTATACGGTTGCCACGTCGGAGTGCGTCCGCGTTTCATGGCGGGACCGCGGGGTCCTATCGAATTTTATCGTTGGCGGGTTATTAAAAAAAAAAAAAATAAATAAACGGCGCGGACGGTACGCGCGAGCTTTCGTCCCGGGCCAATGGGAGACGCGGAAATTAGTAAATGCGACGATCATTACCCGAGCAGCCCTCTTCTGTGGTTGATCACCGCGGTCAGCGACATGCTTTGCCGACGAAGGTGAGGCGTTCTTCCGCGGGCCAGCGCGAAGTAATCCCTTCCTTCGACCTCCGGCGGCAGGGTTGTCGTTCGCATTGCGTCGCGATTCTTCAAATCGACACTTGAACAATCGATTTAACCGTTAACGCGTCGTGACGCGACGCCATGATGCGTTCGACGCAGGGCGGTCGATCCGAACAAAGTCGCACGATTGTTATTCCCTTCGAGTTGTAAGCGATGCGAAACGTCTTCTTCGACAGTTCGACAGTCGCTTATACAGGGTGAGACTAGTGACACGACGACCGTGAATAACTCGTAAGATATGCAAGGTGTCCCGAAAATGTCTCGCAATCAGGAAATGGGAGGTTCCTGAGGTCATTTGAAGCAACTTTTTCCTTTACGAAAATTTTCTCCGAGGCTTCGTTTACGAGTTAGCAACGAAAAACACTGACCAATAAGAGGCGAGCTCGACTGGCGCGCGGTGGCCCAGCCAACGAGTGCACGGAGCCCAGTTCCGCTCGGCCGTCTCGCGCCTCTGATTGGTCTGATTTCGT